TTTAACTCCGATTTTGATGATTTTTTTACAGCTACACTCCTTGATCCTATATGAATACAATAAACTAATTCGATCATCAATTTAGAATATTTACACAAGTGGATACCACAAAATCTTATGTTATAGTTAATGAAAGTATAAATAAACTCCAAGTGTTAGTGAATCTATTGTTTTGATGGGAAACGCATTGTACGAAATTAGTTTCAATGATCCAACCGTCAAACTTGTTTTTATATAATTCAAGATCGCATAGACAAAAAATCGCAAAAAACAAACATCCAGAGATTAAGTAACAGGACAAAACTTTTCGATGGTTTATAAACGAAAAATCACAATTTAACTGTAGTTTTGACTCCAATTTTGATGATTTTTTACAGCTACACTCCTTTATCCTATATGAATACAATGAACAAATTCGATCATCAATTTAAAACATTTACACAAGTGGATACCACAAATCTTATGTTATAGTTAATGAAAGTATAAATAAACTCTAAGTGTTAGTGAATCTATTGTTTTGATGAGATACACATTGTACAAAGCTAGTTTCAACGATCCAGCCGTCAAACTTGTTTTTATATGCTTCGAGATTGCATACGCCAAAAATCGCAAAAAACAAACATTCAGAGATCAAGTAACGGGACAAAACATTTCGACGGTTATAAACGAAAAATCACGATTTAACGGTTATTTTAACTCCGATTTTGATGATTTTTTACAGTTACACTCCTTGATCCTATATGAATACAATGAACTAATTTGATTGTCAATTTAAAATATTTACACTAGTGGATATCACAAAATCTTATGTTATACTTAATGAAAGTATAAATAAACTTCAAGTATTAGTGAATCTATTGTTTTGATGGGATACCGCATTGTACGAAACTAGTTTCAACGATCGAACCGTCAAACTTGTTTGTACATGCTTCGAGATCATATACGCCAAAAATTGCAAAAAACAAACATTCAGATATCAAGTAACGGGACAAACCTTTTCGACGTCGATAAACGAAAAATCAAGACTTAACGGTTATTTTAACTCCGATTTTGATGATTTTTTACAGCTACACTCCTTAACCCTATATGAATACAATGAACTAATTCGATCGTCAATTTAAAATATTTACACAAGTGGATACAACAAAAGAAAAAGACAATGCAAGAACCCCAAAAGAAAAGCAAAAGGCCAAAAAAAAAAAAACTTTGCGCGACGAAATTTGCTACGTCGCGCAAACATGTTTTTGTACTAGTGCCTTAATTGAGAGTACAACTTCATCATCTTCTTTTCAATATATTCAATCATCTTTCGGATGGGAAAGGTCCACCACAAATAATACCTATTATTGAACATAAATATATGCAAGTGAGTGTTTGAAAATACTATAAATAAACTGAATTAAATTCAGACTCACAAGCAACTGGAAGGTAAATCTACATCAGAGCTTGAGCATCTTCCATTCTGAAAATCATGAAAGTATAAGAATTTCATGTATGTATAAACAAAGGTAAATTTGCATCAAAACATAATTAGATTAGAGCATAATATAGAAATTTTAAAAGCTGACTTATCAAATTATAGACGTTCAATCACTTTACTAGTTTCAGCTTCCTATCTTCCCAACAAAACATTTTCTATTTAACACTGATATCTCAACTTTTGGTTGTACACCACAAACTACAAATCACAGGGCATAATACATTTCTGCAACAACGTTCATCATAACAGAAGGAAGGGAAAAGGAAGAGCACCACCAAATTGGGAAGCCAAAAATGTTTACTTGTTATAATTCCATGTCAACAAAATGATTTAGTATCAATTCAATTGTTGAACCATAGGATTTTCCAGTATTAGTCTTGCGCCTTTTACGGCTGACCCAATTAAACACCACACTTATTTATCATTATATATCAATAGATGGTGCCTTTGTCTTGATTTTTTTTTCACAAGATGATAACCTAAACTACAGAATGGAAAATTCGAACTTAGAGTGCAAATGAGTGAGCACACTACCTTACTCAACTTGCATACCTCACATTTGGTCTTTGGTATTTGGTGACGAGGATTTGATTTGATAATAGACGAATAAATTAACTAGTGTGAACCCACAATGAGTCTGTACGAAAAAACGCACATCATAAAGGGTTGAATGCATGTATCAAGGTGTACACCAAATTTCTTAACATTCATCCAGAAAGTTCTGTAGTTCTCATGTCCATTTGCTCATTGCTTCTATTGGTCGCCAGTAGCCGTAACAAAAAAAAGGAAGACAAATAGCAAATTAAAACTAAAGTTTCACATTCTATGGACCTAGTTAAAGCTAAGAACATCTCACATACTAAACCGACTTCTATAAATTTATATACCACATCGCTCTTCTTCAAAATAAATACACAATCACAATAAATTGGTTCCTTTTATTGTTTCTACAAATTCACCCCATTATTCATCATTGATTTTCGAAGAGAAAGGAAATTGATCACCGGGTGTCTAAGCTTGGCAACTAAACAACTGATTGAAGAAGAAAATCCAAAAACAATTAAAGAAATATAGGGAAAGAAATAGGTACCTTGTTGTCGACTGAAGAACTCGATAAAATACCTAATTTCTCTTTCCCCAATCTGGTCATGTTATGCCAGAGAGAGGAAAGACTTATATAATGAGCACCAGGGGGTGAGAGGGTGGCCAAGGGAGGGAGACGAAGGAAAAGTGGTGGTCGCCGTAGCTGGCAACCACTAGGTGGTTGGTCGTCGGAGTCGAGGTGAGAGAGTAAAGAAAGGGAAGCTGAAGACGGCAGGGATGGGTGAGAACAGAAGCAAATAGGTTTTTCAATTTGGAAAGGGATCATCTCCGGATCCTTCCTCCAAATCCATCAAATCAGGAGATCTGAATCATTAAAATTTGATCCAACGGTTAAAATTATTATAACTTTTAAAGTAATCCTTGCGCGACGATGTATGTTTCATTGCGCAATGGTTTTTTTTTACTAGTGATATCATGCAAACATATTTGAATTAGTCAAAAATCTCTCTTGCCAAAAAATTAAGGTGGGAGTTCATGACTAAAGAAATTCAACTAGTCTCAACGCATGACAGTCTTGTGATAAATTGATTAAAATGCATTGTTTCTTCGACCCAAAGGTGTTGACTGCGGAAACAATACATATAAACATTTTGCAGTTTATGGGGTTATACTCCAAAGAAAACATATGAAGGATTTATTCAAGGCAAAGGCAAGTGTTTTTAATTGATTACGAATTACATCGATTGCCCTTGTTCTTGGTGAAGCAAGAGGCCAGGACAAGTACACTTTCCATAAGGTGGTATAAATTTCCTGAGCAGGCGTTTACTTAAAGATCTCCATCACCCAAAAATTACAGACAAAACATTCATATTTAATGCCACTAAATCGTGCACCAGTTGCCAAAGCCATGAACTCTTCTCGGCTCTGCTCCTTTCCTCCCTGGTTTTGAGTCATCATAAGCACATCAATTTGGGAGGTGCTCTTCACGGCGGTGCTAGTCTCTGGCATTACTGGAATAAGTGCGTCCACGATAATCACTTTCCCATCGTCTGGTATAGCATTGTAACAATTTTCCAACAGCTTTAGGCAGTGCTGGTCTCTCCAATCGTGAAGTATCAACTACAAATTTATTAAAAAGATACATTGTTACCATTGTACGTATGACCTCAAACTGAAAAGGAAAAACAAAATTAATGCTCAAGAAATTGAAAAATTACCTTCTTAAAAATGGCATCCCCAGATGGAACACTTGCAAACATGTCTCCTCCAACATGTTCCACCCCTGCAAAAATAAATTAACTCCTATTTTAAGTTGCAAAGCTTGTGCATGATAAATAAACTAGGAAGAAAAATAATTCCCGCATTTCTTTTGCTTCTTTTGTACATCTTTGTATATTTATGTCTTTTGATTCTCTATATGATTTATTCAACCTGAAGCTAAAACATAAGTGTGTAGGGAAAGCAAAATGGTGAGTGTGCGGACATCACGTTCCAACTAACTATTACGAATCAAATTAACTAAAGTGATCTTTACTAGGATATGAAGCGGCATGTTTTATGACATGAGGCAAGTCGTAATTGATACCCTAAATATGGGGATGCTTAGAAGTGATTAGACTAATAGTGACTCCCAAACCACCACCAACATCAACAAGTAGGGTAATTTTCTCAAAACCCTTGTAGATATGAAGAATCTTCTTGGTGACAATATTGGTGTGGTTAAAAATTGTTGTGTTGAAAACTTGATTAAACCTGGGGTCTAAACCTAGGTACTCAAAAGAATGCTTTCCATGGACCCTGTTAAATGGAATTCCTCCTTCAACAACTGCATCTTTCAGTTGGGACCTATCAATGTGAATGTGTATCGCCCAAGTTAGAGTTAAAAAGATAAATTACTATTTTTTGAGTATTGCTTTCTGGACTTGCCACAATGTGAAACAATAGTCTTTTTGAATAACATTCTTGATAATTCCTTTTAAAATAAAAGGTTTAAAGGGGGCCAAAAAGGGACGAAGTTCAAATGGAGTTATTCAAAAAAATTATTGTTTTCCATTGTAACAAGTTTAGAGACCAATATTTCGGGATATTTAATTTAAAGACCAAAGTTCCAATTGAACTAAAATTCAGAACCATTGCTCTAATTATCTCTAATAATTTTACTAAAACAAAATATAGATGAATAAAAAGAGAAAAGGGTTACGACAATGGTTAATTAGTAGGGGCAAGAGAGCAGTACTTGTTGGAGTTTGTATGCAAATTGTCACATATCGTTAGTGTATATATTATCAAGATACTTACTATTATATTCTTCATATTAATAGTAATTTGGTGTGAATAATATGTTATAGGTCTGTTGGTAAAAGACCGAACAACTATTTGGATAAGCCAAATTCAAAATTTCATATTTATCTCTTCAAATTTGAATTTGACTTATTCGGGCAATTTCTTAACTTCCTAATACCTGTTGGGAAAGGATACTTAGTATCCTATATAATACCAAAGAGGTCAGACACGAAAACAGAAGAATAATTATATACATCTACTGCATATAATATACATATCATTTGGAAGAGAAAGCATTCAAAAGTTCACCATAATTCAAAGTTCCGGTGCTGGAACTTTGAAGTATAGATAGTTGGATCCTGGGGGACGGATGCCCGTTGAACTACAAGCATGGAGTAGGGGCGCAATTCTGTCTTCAGGACACTGCAAAATCTGCAGGCCTCTATCTTTTCGATCAAGTCAGTTTTCCTACTTTCTTGTTTCTTTTAGTTTACAATATTACAATTACGAATTGGTTGTAATACGATATTAGATTACAGTTATTTCAGTTGTTTATTACAATTTGTTATCAATAAAGTTGTATTCTGATTGTTTTGTTGCAACAGGACTAAACAAACCAGGATTCTAGGACGACCTTGTCTTGCGACAATGCCATCATGGGACCTAAAGAAACACCATCCTCATCAGTCACAAAGTAGTTGGACACAGGACCAATGTTGTAGACCCTCTGAGAATCAGACCCATCTTCTTCATTAGCAACGATAGAGCAGCTGAGAATAGAGTAACTGGCTAGGAGCCTTGGAATACGATCCAACATCATCGGTGCCTCAGAATTCCTGGTGCCGCTGCCGATATGGGCTGCAATCTCTGACGAAGACAGCTTGGCACCAGGACCGGCTTTCGCTATGATGTCGAAAACGCCTAGCTCAATTGCTGATTGCATAGACATGGACAACACAGAAGAAAACACCAGCTGCATGGCACAGCTAATGTTTTCCTCTTCTTCCAGCTGCAGGGCCATTGGACTGTCTATATTTGTATTGTGATACTTAATGCCACCTGTGTTGGAATATATTAGTATTTTAGGTATTATATTGTTTGGGTTTTCTTATAAGTTTAGTTTGGGCTTAGCCTGTTAGCATTAGGGTTAGGGTTAGTTTATTATAAATAACATGCTTGTTAGTCAGTTAAGAACAAGTTATTCACAATGTAGTCTCTTAGGGTTTTGTAGTCGTTCCGGCATTCTAGTTTGTTTAATAATATTCCTATTATTTTGTTAGGCTTGTTCGTTGCGCACTCTGATATTCAATTGGTATCAGAGCAGGTTTGATTCTTAGGGATTTAATCTGCTTCTGTTCGTTATCGGCGTTTGTCTTTTTCCGTTGTTTATTTTTTCAGTTTTGATCGTGGAATATTTTCATTTTCTGGTTAGTTTTTGGGTTGTCATTCATAGTCGGAAAAGAGGAGAAAAAGAAAGAAGTTTTTTGAATTGAAGTTTGGACTCGCGCCGACGCTGGATCCAGTTGATCCATCATCTACTATTGTTCCCGTATATGCTGTTGCCTATATTCTTAACCAGCATCCATTGCCGCACCGAACCCACCACCAACCACCAGCCTTCGTACCAGGTCTGCCCCGTTGTCCGTATGTGAACTGTTCCGCAATAGGCCATTGTTGCACCACTCACCTGCCGCACCCACCATCACCTGCATGATCCACCGATGCTGCAACAACTCGCATCTCCGCATCACTGCCATGCCGCTTAATCAACCCGCACTCGACCCGTACCAGTACCTGACCTGCCACTGTTGCTCTGCATCCATGATTTCCCTGTTGTAACCTGTCAAAACCACCAATGCACCCTTGTCGTACCATCTTCGCAAGCCTAGATCCCATGAACTTGTACTAGATCCAGCTGCAATCTGTGAGTTTGTATCCGCCAGTCTAGAAACAAAAAGAAGAAAAAAAGAAAAAAAAAATTTGGCTCTTTGAGGTTTTTATTACGAAATAATTATTGTAGTTATTATCTTATTATTGTGATTATGATAATATCTTCCTGAATTAGGAAAATGTTATCATAGTTATTATAATATTATAATCATTATAATTTACCTCTTCTAGCATAAGTCAAATGCCACAAATTGTGGATCACGACTTACATGCCGTAATAGTGGCTATGTGCTTAATTGTAATATTTGTATATAATACCTTGTACAGAAAGAATTATGCAATTAGAAGAAAATCATTCACCCAATTGTCTATTACTCAAACCCTAATCAATTTGCCCTGCAAAATCTTCCTTTGGTTTCTTAAGATGGTATCAAAGCACCATCATGGTGCCTTATTTCTTACTTCTCAAAAACACCATGTCAAATCAAATCAACTTTTCCCTTGTCAGAAAACACAAAATTCAATCTTTGAACACCGTGGCAAATCAAACACTTCTAGAAAAGACAAAACCCAATTCTCAAAAATTTTCCACAACATCAAATACATATTTGGCCCACACGGGCAGAGAGGAAAAGTGGGTTGTTGGCTGTTTGCCACCCATTTTATGGTTTGGAGGTTTTGAGGCCCACACAGGCATAAGAAAAAATAGGTTGTTTGGTGTTTTTTGGTTTAAAGTCCGAGGACCACTAGTTGTTCGCCTGTTTGGGATTGTTATGTGATCATTTGAGTACTTGGACAAGTGACTACTCGAGTGATAATTGTGTTTGTTCGTTGTTTCTAGAATTGAGATATGAAAATCTCGTCCGTTTAGTGACGGGTTCTTTCCATACTCTCAACACTAGCCAGTTTGAACCAGAATCAGTTTGCAAGAAGCAAGAAGCAAGTGAAGTCAAGTCAAGTCAAGTAATCAAGAACCAGTTCGCCAATTCGCCAGTCAAGTCAAGTCAAGTTTGCATGCCTGCCAGTCGGCCTAACGGAGCCAGTCCGCATCTGCTTGTTTGCAAACCCATGTCGTATACCACCATGAGTTTGACGGGGGGTGTTAGAATATATTAGTATTTTAGGTATTATATTGTTTGGGTTTTCTTATAAGTTTAGTTTGGGCTTAGCCTGTTAGCATTAGGGTTAGGGTTAATTTATTATAAATAGCATGCTTGTTAGTCAGTTGAGAACAAGTTATTCACAATGTAGTCTCTTAGGGTTTTGTAACCGTTCCGGCATTCTAGTTTGTTTAATAATATTCCTATTATTTTGTTAGTCTTGTTCTTTGTACACTCTGATATTCAATTACCTGAATGTGTTTACTTATCTTCTCTATATAGAAAACCAGAACTTTCTTTTGGTCAATTCGTGCTTTATATTTTAAGTCTTGATACAAATTTTAGTTTATCAAGTGAGGTTAGCTTGCGGCACTGATATTTGAATTTTTGTTTAACTCCCTTTACTTTATACGCCCGTCTATTTTACATGAATCGATCAGACTTCCACCTAAATGTACAAGTGCAATTCTACTAGAAGTCTGCATAACTCTCATCAATGTGGGGTCTGTCGAAACATTCAAAGTCTACAAATGTTATAGAATTCCATATTCAATGCATGATAAGATGAATGTTCAATCGTGGATCATGTGGCCTCTATTACAAACTACGGTCATGAATCATTGTTTATGTGGGGGAGATCATGAGAATAAATTAAAATATGATACGTGACTAATTAAGATTTTTTTGTTGTTGCTCTACACTTCACGGCACTACTTCACTATGGCGGAGGGACGAAGAGACGAGGATTGGCCTAGGGCGCTTATCCTGACCTTTTCTTTTCAACCCTCCTCCAATTATCATGCTTCATTCATTTACAGTCATGCTCTTATTTGTCAACAATGCAACAAATTCAAACATATATCTCTATATACTAAAACCCAACCAGGGTGGTACTGTGGATGACCAGTGTGATGACCGTTTTGCCCCCTCGGTTTATCATTGCTTTCCTCCTTTGTGGCCAGCTTTGTACAGTGAGATTATGGTTTTGCCCATTAGATGCACGTGCCGACCATCGCTGTGCGACGCCTGCTATCCACTTTTCTTCACACTTTTTCCCTTCTGTTTCAATTTTTCCCCACGCGTCGATCATCGCTGGACCTTCTTTCGACTTCTTCTCTGCTTTCGCTTCTCTTTGTCTCTCTCGCCATTCTCGGTTGCTGCTATTCTAAACTCTAGCTTTCTGTCTCCAAAACGCCGATTTTTCTCCCCCTCCAACCTTCCATCTTTCTCTCAGGAATTATCAACAACGGTGCAATTAGATCCAATTCAATTTTTTTACCCTAAAAGTTGGCGTTTCCTGGTGAATTTTACGGCTTTCTCAGTGTGGGTGTTTTTTTTTTTGTGGTTTTAGATATGCAGATGGGTTTTGTGTTTGTGTTCGCTTTTTGTGATTCTGTTTGTAGGCTCGTATCCTCCTACTGTTCTTCTTCACCCAAACCAGCGGCCCCACCTTTGATTGATACCGACGGAAACACCACGAATTGAGGCGCAACACCAATACTAACAATTATAAGAAAAGAGCTCCAAACCCGCAAAGGTATTATGTTTTTTTTTTGTTCTGGGCTTTGAGCTGTTTGGATACTGAGAATAAGTTTTTCATTTTTTTTTATTATTTTGTTTCTGGGTTGCCTTCAACTAAGAGATTTAGGGAATGGGTTTAGCGTGAATTTAAATTCTGGGATATCCCTTGAGGAAAATCTTGGTCAGATTCTGTTATCTGTTGTCATCAACCATTGAATTGGTTTTGGAGTTTTCGTTTGATCAAAGAGATAGAGTGTTTTTATTGGGTGAAACTTTTATCGGTGAGATTTTTAGTTAGGCTATGTTTTGGGTTTTGGCAAATTTCTAGCGTGTTTATGCATGTGGTTTTTATTATAGACTTGGAAGAAAATGGGATTGAGGGTGAGGGGAAAACGGCAGAGAAAGCATGGAAGAGAGATTTGGGATTAGGGATAGGAAAACAGATGAAAAGAATATGATAGAGGAATGGGTTCAGTTCATTTTCACTATTTTTTTTTACTGATTTGGGATTTTGTTTGGGTTTGAGGCCATCATTGGCGTTAAGACGTTTATTGTCAGACCGTGTGTGTTTTTTGCTAACTTTTATTGGTAATTTTTATGTTGTTCTTACGATTTTGTGTGGTAGGGTTTCTAAATTTTATCGTTGATCATTTGGTTTTTTTTGTGTGTTGGTTTGTTTGTTTTGCAGGTTGTGTTTGTGCTGGGACAACATTTTCCACCTTCTGTTTGCACTGGGATGACTGCATTTTAAAGCTGTTGTGGGTGAGATTTACGTATGGAATCATTCCATTTTTTTTCCCAAATATGTGTATTTAGTTCTCTTTAATTTTAAGTTATAAAAATTTAATTTTTATTTGAGTAATATTTTATTAGTTTATGTTATGTGTTGTGATCAGGAATTCTGTTGGATTGGGGAATTTTTGTTTGATGAGAGAGATGAGGAGTTTTTTTGGTTTGAATTTTTTATTGGACCAATTTGCAATTGGATTGCATTATGCCTTTTTGCATCAATCTTATGCAAGCACTTCATTGTTTTAAATACTATTTGAAGAGAGCTGGGTTGCAGGTTGGATATAAAATGTTAAGGTGAGATAAAATCGAGATACCAAGGGTGGAAGAATGATTTAGAATTGGGGGACGAAAACAGAGGGATAGGGTTGACCTCATTTAGATTATTTTTTTTAATTGATTCAGGACTTACATGTATCATCATCCTACATACTAAAACTCAGTTTTGAGTACTATTGATGACCAGTGGCTGGACCCATTTGTCCATCGCTTTCTCCTCTGTTTCCCTTGCTGTTTTCACATTTGTACAGTCGAATGGTTGTTTTGCCCCTCGCTTTTTTTTTTTATATTTTTTGTCTTTTATGTTTTTCTGTGTTGGCACAAGGTTACACCAGTATTAAACAACTACAGGTCCTCCAAAGGTCAGCTTATTACCATATTTCATCAAGTTCGGTATAAATAGATCTTTATTTTTTACTACAGTTAAATACATGGACATGCCTCCACAAATACAGATTAGTTCTTGGTTTTGTGTTCAGTAAAGTTGACATAGAAAATCTTCCCATTGTCTACCAAAATCCTCCACACATGAAAACATAAATTCTTAATCAAAGCTTATTACCATAACTGTATCTGTTGTTTTTTATTAAATTAACGCACTGTTTTCAATTTTATATCCAACACAAAAGAAAATGCTCTTACACAATGTGGTTACTTACATTTTATAACTTATCTACCACATGTTAATCTGAGTTATATAAACAGGAAAACAACAGTTATCAATCAGACTTGGAGCCCCATGTTTGGTAAACGCATTTAACTAGCCTTACTTTTAATACCGAAATCCAAGTTTTATTCTCTTAAATCTGCCTGTGTTTCCAGACCTTGCAAACGTATTTGAAGTGTTGTTGCCACAACTTCTGCTGTATCCCAATCCCTCTGACCCTTTAAACGGAGAGGCTGCAGCTTTAATGATGCGTTTCCGAGCTACTTATGAACAAGGAGTTAAAGGTATTGATTGCTTTTTAGGTTCGTGTCTCCCTGTCATCATGCATCTGTTTTCTGTAGTTTTTCACTTAAGTTTCGACTTCAGTGTATTCATGTCGCGATTAGTGCTAATTTGAACATGGATTCTTCAACTGCAATCTTTTGAGTAGTGTTAAGCCTTTTGTTACATTATAGTGCTACTCTTACTCCTGCAGATGTCAACTTAAATGTGTTTTGAGAACCTTGCATTCTGTTATGTTTTGAGAAGTAAACTTAAGTAGACAAAAACAGAATGGTTATCAAATGGGACCTTAATTTCTGCATAAAAATGAGTTATAATGTGCATTATCGAATACTAAGTTGTGTATTTTCTTTAATTGTTTCCTCGAGAGCATTCCAATGGATCACTAAACATGATTATGCAAGCAAACATCGTTTTGTATTCTTTTTTCTGTTTCTCAAACATTTTAAATTTGAATTTCATATATCTTTACAAAAAAAGATAAAATATGTATATACAAAGCTAAAGAAAATATTGGCAGCCCTTCAAATAGATTCATAAGCTTTATTCAGCTATTTCACTTCAGTTTCTTTTACAAATGTGTAATCATTTTAAGTTAATAATTATTATTTTTTATCTTAGAATTCTTTTACTCTGTTCTATATATTTATAAATATATGAATTTCAATAATGAATGTATGAACTTCACCAAAAAACTCAAGTACAGATCCCTAAAGCTCTTTGTCCCTGAACATTTACTTTCCACAAGAAGGTTCATCTCTCTCTCTCTCTCTCTCTCACATCTTTTTAAATGCATAAATGTTTTCTAAGCTGAAATACACTTCTCAGACAGATGTGATTATTGGGTTGGATTTTTCTTATTAACCTTCGTAAAATAGTGGCTTTAATTTTTCAGGCAAAAGTTTTTATGCAACCTCATTACTTGCAGAATTTGGTTTGGTCAACCTTTAATGCCTTATCGTCGGAATAAGTTAAAGGTAAGGGTCACCAAATCATACTATTTTCGTTGCTATTTATTTCCTTGCTGAACACGATGAAGCGAACTCTCTTCATTTGCATTCTTGCATTTAAATTTGCATGTCGGTTTATGGTAAATAATATTCAATTTTCGTTGTCTTCGATTCTACTGAGTTGCAGTTTTATCATCTATTTATAAAACCCATTTAGACTCACAATTTTTTTGTGTGGTAAAACTTAAACTGAAGCATTATGTATATCCAAGATTGAAGAAGAAATTTAAGTTAAAATTAGATGGACACCCAATACTAGGGGTGATGTTGCCAAGGTTGTAACCATATCAGTAGTCGATTTTATAAATAAAGTGAAATACAAGACTAACCCAACAGGTATCATAAAATTATGTTGAACTACTTTTTTCTCTCTCTTGGTACTCAAGATATCATTCCTCACTTGGCCAAAAACGATAGATTATCCCTCATGATGTGCTTTCCATGTTTGAATATTTTGTTAATTCAGTTTCAAGTGTTTTCTTTTTGTGTATAAGAATATCTTAGTAACTCATTGTTTTTTCTTTCCTCTAGGTGGTACAATAGTTCTATCCGATGATGGTCGCTATTTTTCAAAGGATGCTGTGGAAATTCAAGATTGAAAACCGCTGGCTTTCCATCTTTTTAAACAAGTTACCTTTGTAAGGTATCAAAACTACAATTTTTCTATAGCAAATAAAATTCTTTCCTTCACTATGATAATTTTGTTTAGATTAATTAATGTTACATTGATACTAACTCAAATTTATACACTGCTAGAAAGTCAATTTGTAATCCCGCAGCAACGCGCGGGCATTACTAGCTAGTCTGTATATTAAAACTCAGTCGGGTGGGTACTGTGGATGACCAGTAGGCGGACGATTTTGCCCCTACCTTTTTCCTCCGGTTGTTCTTCTCTTTGGTTTTTGGGGCAGCGAAATGCCATTTTTGCCCATTGCTTCCACACGTTTGTCATCAATGGATCCTCTATTTGAGGGGATGTAGTCAAACTAATATTTTAAAAGATTTTAATAGTGATATATTTGATAGGATTTAAGAGGATTAAAGACTCCTACAAAATTCATATGGATTTTTAAAGAATTTGAATGGATTGTGGTGGATTGTAGTGGAAGGATTTGAAATCCTAAGGGGTGTGGTTGGATTCTTTTTAGTCTTGATTATATATACTTTTAGCTTTCAAATCCCATAAAATCCACAATTTATTGAAATCATCCAAAATCTTAATTTTTTTAATACTCTTAGATTTGGATGGATTTTAAAATCTTTTAATTGAATACACCTAGATTTTAAATGATTCTAAAATCTTTTAATTGACTACATTTAAATTTGAATGGATTCTAAAAGGGAAATTTTATTTAAACCCATTTAACTTATTTTTACACCCAACTTACTCTTTGCACCCATTTGATTTTGAGTTAATTAGAATTAGATGCCTCATTTTAGATTTTTCTAAATTAAACATCTGTTACTTTTCAACTTTTGATTTAAGTGCTTTTAATTTTAATTAAACTTTATATTCCAGGTATATTCTTAATTTAAGTATTTTATAAATTCTTTTAAATCCATTTCTATGTAAAAAAAATGCACTCAATAATATTCATTAATTTATTGTTATTTTTATGGAATCTCATCCCTTCCTCAATTTAAGGATTCAATTATATCTACTGGGGTTCAAGATTAATTGGATGAAATATAGTTTTTCCAATTTCCAACTCAACATATAAAAAAACAAGAGTTCGTTTATAATTAAAATTGAGATGTAGACTAGACTGCCTAATTTCATGCAACTGAAAATAAATTTGAATTTTTTAACAACTACTTATAGTAGAAACTTGAACTAAGAGTTTTCACATTTTTATTTTTATTTAAAATGAGTCCTTATTCCAATAATTAATTATTTAGAGTTGAAAAAATATTTTTAGTACAATGTTTTAATGTGAAAAGTTATCTTTTTTTTGGGTTACACAACTTACACATAACGTACCATAAGTTTTGTACGTACCAAAATAAGGATAATACAACGTACTAATAACTTGGTACGTACTAAATAAAGAATTGCATAACGTACCAAAAGCAATATTTATAACGTACCAAAATACTAATGCATACCCAGATTAAATTTATATAACGTACCAATAACGTACAAAATGATTGGTACGTTATATTTAATATATCTGTTTGGTACGTTATATTTAATATATGTGCATGTTATATTTCATAATTGTATGTTAATAGGATGTTTATGTGTTTTTAGAATTTAAAACAACAAATTATTTGAATAAGAAAAATTCATTTTGAACGAATTATGATAAGATAAGATAGGAAGTTTGTGGTGATTTTAGAATATTTGTGATATTATTTTCTGAACTAGTTGGTTAATTAAATACAATAAAAATCATAATTTTTAATTAAAAATTAGTAGAAGTCAAAAGTTTAAAAGTTATAGATGTTTGATTAAAAAATTCAAATTTGAGGCATCTATATCAAAATGCCCCTTTGATTTTTAACTAAATTATTAATATCTCTTTAAATCCAAATTTAATACCTAATATACTCCCATAAACCCAATTCAATATGTGAATTTATTTTTACACCTAATTCAATAGGATGACCTTTGCAGACCGCTAGGGGAGTTCTTGCTATTGCTGATGGTGTTTCTGGGTATGGAACTTATGTTGGCTTGCTTATATACCCTATGACGTTTTACGATTCGAAAAAGAACAAGAAATCCAGGGAAATTTGGTTAAGAAACTCCAAGTAGTGGACACATAATTCATCTGTTGATTTCGGAAGTTCTGATCTTCTCATTTTTTTGGCTTGGCAGTTGGGCTGAACAGGATGTGGATCCTTCATTGTTCCCCAAAGAAGTGATGGCCAACGCCTCAAATCTTGTGGGAGATGAGGATGTAGTTTCTCTCAAAACCAAGTACCACCTTCACTATTGTTAAGTAGAATTTCGAGCTTGTGTAAATTTCGTGTTTGCTATGAAACCCAAGGCACGTCCCATATAGCTAGGGGTGGTTCGGTATGGGATCTCATACCGAAATCCTAATTCCGATTCCCAAACCGAAATTTTAGGGAATCCCAATTTCAATACCGATCCCAAACCAAATTTTCGGAAATCCCAATTTTCGGGAATCCTGAAATAGTTTCGGAATTTCGGAACAAATCGGGAATCTCGAAATGGTTTTGGGCTTTTGACTAAATTTGACATATCATGCTTTTGGGCTAAAATTCAACATTTTATATTGAAAATTTGGGCTTTTGGGCAGGTTGCCAATCTGCGGCCCAATCTGTTGTTAGACTAAAATATGCAATATGTGCAATCTGTGCAATCTGTTGCGGCCCAATCTATGCAATTTGAAATCTGAATCTATGCACAATAGTCAATAGCTATGCAATCTGAAATCGGAATCTGTGCACAATAGTCAGTAGCTATGTGATCTGATCTACCTATTTAATTTCTACCAATAGCATATGTGATCTACCTATTCAATTTCTACTACACATGCATGCAATAAAAATAAATTAAGTAACAAATCCAAAAGCAAAAAAAAAAAAAATAGTTACAAGCTAAGGTTTTAAAATAAATAAAGTAACAAACTCAAAAGCAAAAAAATTAGTTACGAGCCAAAGTTTCAAAATAATTAAGTTACAAACCAAAAGCAAAAAAGCAAAGCTTAACGTTTATGAAGATTGTTGGCCTCTTCGGCCCTTTGATCTTGTTGATGCTTATGGTTGCTCCCTTCTTGTTGGTACTTGTACTCTTCCAATCACAACCACAACCACAGTTCAGCATATATCCAAATTCCAATCAATAAAGCACAATAGCACATATCCAATTCAAATGCAATAACATTAACATATTCAATATGTGCAAAGTAAGAGAAAACAATTAAAGAGAATTAAAGAGAATTCATATATATTCATAAAGAGGAAACACAATTAAAGAGTCATATGACTCATATCTATTCATAAAGAGAATTCATATTTATTCATATCTAACTAATGTCCATACCACATAAACAACACAAACATGTGAATGCAAAATGAAGATATAGTACTAACCTTAAAAAGCCTCAATTCAAACCAAGGACCGAATACACTTGAGTTGTTATTACAGTGGGTGCAGTACACTCGGATCTGATCCAAAAGAACAGATAATGTTATGCAAATGCTTGAGGATCTAATCAGCTAGTCATTAGAAGTTTCAGAGAGAAAGAAAAGAGCAAAAACAAGTTCTCAATGCTTGCTAAATCGAAAAAGAAGTTTTAGAGAATCTCCAATATGAAACCATTTTTCAAATATGTAATAGTTAACAATCTGTATATGGACAACAAAAGAAAATTGATATATCATGGTAACATTTTAGACTAACTTTTTAATCAACTTCCCTGCAATCAATATGTTTTTAATCCATATTCCGAGTCCAATACTAATCAACACCATTTACAACCCACGGCCCTCATCCCCTCATCCCCTCACCCAAAAGAAATATAAAACAAACAAAGAAAGAAGCGAAATGCCTCGGTCTGTTCGAATGCATATGACCCAGATTTCATATATTTAACACAAACAAGGGAACAACAACAACAGCTTGTACCACAGTCCATTAACTTTCTTTCCAATATAAGCCCATAACTAAACAAAACCTTAACAAACTGTGCCTTGACGTGCAAGCAATTTCCATTTTATAACCCCATCCATTCCAATAAATTTAAATTACAGAATCACACACAGTTAAATATGCTAAGAATAATTATAAAAACTTATTAATTAATCGAGCTTCCATTTTTATAAAATTATGGAACTGGTGCAGCATATATGAATAACCCTAAATCAACTGCAGTGACAAAATTTACGAAAGAATGAATAGGATACCTGAGTACCTCACTAAAATCCATTTGAAAAATTTACGAAAAGAACGAATGGGGTACCTCAGTACCTCGCCAAAATTTACGAAAAAAGCTCTGATTGCAAAAGGTATTTTAGAAAACATTTAAATCAGGCTCCCTCCCCCCTTTAACCTCTCATATTCCCTATGCAACCTCTCGATTCAAAATCCCTAATTCCAAAAGCCCTAATTCAGAAACCCTAATTTCAGAAATTCCTAATTCAGAAACCCAAATTCAAATTTTCTAATCGAATTTGGAATCAAACAATTTGTATGAACTTTGGTTGAGTTTATTGCAGGAATTTCTTACCTTTTGCAGTGAGGAGAAGTGCGGAATGAGACCGAAAGCTCGATTTAGGAGCCGAATTCGGATGGTAAGGACAGTGGGTAAAGGCGATTCAGGTGAGGAGGGATGACTGAGAGGAATGAGGACTGGTGTGGGCAGATTTGGGATTCAGGCGACGGATGTGGGAGGAGAGACAAATCGGTGAGGAGATACTGAGGTGAGGTTTTAGGTCTGAGGTTGAGAGACCGAGAGAGAGAGAGCGAGAGAGAGTCAGACACGGGTTGGGATTGATAACTTTGATTTACATGCAACGGTTGAGATTAAATCTCAACATAATCCAACGGCTATTAAAATTCTAATTATATATTTAAAAATTAAATAATATATATATATATATATTTTTTTTTGGTTTGGTTTGGGAATACCGAAATCCAAAAAACGTGAGACCGATTTCCGTACCCAAATTTCGGGATAGGTTTGGTATTGGGTACCAAAATTTTCAGGAATTTCGGTTTGAGAATTTTCGGTTCGGTTTCGGGAATCTTTCAGTTCGGTTTGGTATTTTTGGGATTTGTTTTCAGCCCTACATATAGCAGGTGAACAACAATCCTCATATTCTGATAGGAAAGGTACATGCTTATACCTCCTTGATAGGTTCTGCTACGGTGTAAGTTCATCATTTCGTTTAAGAAATCTTCGCTGTATTTTGCCATATTTGTTCAAGAGATTCTTACTTTAGCTTTCCTTTATCTAAGTAGAATTATAACCAAAATACTCATCTTCTAAACTCTAAAAAATTGAAATCGAACGAACAAAAAATTCATAAATTGAGTCATACCTTGATTGGAGGATTCAAAACTTCAAAATCACCATCCATCAATAGAAAATTTTATTTTTCTCTATGAGGGCTTTTAGGGTTTTAGTCAGAATGAACGTAGGATAAACAAACGATGACCGTATGGTTTAATTATAGTGTTTGGGTTTATTGATAAATTTGAGTTTTATTATTAATTTCATTTTGTACTTAATAGTAATTATGCAATAGAGTAAAACAGACAATTAACATTCAAAATTTTAAGTTGGGTATAAAAAGAGATTGCATGGATTTAAATAAAATTTCCCATTCTAAAATCCTTTAAAATCTTTTAATTGACTACAGTAGTATTTTAAAGTCCTCTCAAATTGGACTGTGTTCTCGATTTTTCTTTTGCTTTTTGTTGCTTTTTCACATCATTCTCACAAATCTCTCTTCTGCTGTTCTCAGGCTTACTAACTCTCGCCTTCGATTCCAACAAGTGCGATCAATCTCGCCCCTCAATTCCCTTCATAATCCTCATTTTCCACATCTTTGCGCTCATTCGCCTGAACGAAAACCCGGATCGATTTCTTCCTCTGAAATTAAACCCTAATTTTGCCCCCAAACGAATTGGAACACAGTCAAATTCGATTTCTAATTCAAGTTGTATTGATTCTAAGGATATAATCTAGTGTTTCCAGGTGAGTTTTGCATGTTTATGAGTGTGTATGATTTGGGTTGATAAATTTCCTTCACTGTCAACCTCTATCTGCTTATTTCATCATTTTTAGTTGGGAATTGAAATATTGAATTGGATAATTGGAAGATTTGGGTTTCTTTGAACTTCGTAGTCTCAATAGCGTTTTCGGTTTAAGTTTGTTAATTGGTTAGGTAAAATGGGGGACCTGTTCTTCAAAGACTTCTTTGAATTGGTGATGTGATGTATAGTATACGGTAATCAGGATTTATGGGTTTCTGGGTAATCAGGGTTTATGGGTTTCTGGGTGCTGTGATACATAGTTAGGGTAATCAGTAGTGTTGATGCACAAAATCAGTGAGGACTTTGGTACAACAGAAAGTGTTAAGTTTGTGACATTCGCTAAATTGCTTCGGTCACTAGTGTGGATAAGTATGTAAATGGATGGAGACAGGGAAGCAAACACAAGATGTACGTGGTTCACCCAGATTGGCTACGTCCACGGAGTAGAGGAGTTCTCATTAATTGTGAAGGTTTTACACAAGTACATAGGTTCAAGCTCTCCTTTAGTGAGTACAAGTGAATGATACAAATGACATTAGGAAATATTGTGAGAGAATGATATCTATTTATAGAAGAGAGTTTCTAGTTTCATTCTGACATTGACACGTGTCGTGTTGTGATTGGCTTCTGATATTGACACGTGTCGTGCTATGATTGGTTTCTTATGTCAACACGTGTTGCGCTGTGATTGGCCTCCTAGTTGGAGGGAAATTCTTCTGGGTCCTTCACTGTATAACGTTGGCCGGTGCTCAGTAGTTTTGGGATTGGTCAAGTATGGTACAAACAATACTCCCTTAAGTTCCTGAGTGAGGGAAGCTTCTCGGTTGGGGACTTGCAAGATCCAAGCCATTAAGTAATCACGAAACTTCTAAGTACCAAAGTGTGGTATCATTTTCACTTGCCTTATCTATCTCATACGTAGCTGTGGCATTTTCTCTGGAAGTACTTTTCCTCCATCCAGGGGTGGTATCTTTAATCGATGAAGATGCACAAGGTAATGTATCAATTTCACTTGAAGCTTACTTATAGTTTTGGGCTTAGTCAAGTGCGATACAAAACCCTATAGTAGGAGTCCCCCAAGTCGCCGAGCTAGGAGATTTGCCGAAAGAGGTAACAGACAAGGTAAGCAATCAGACTTCCAAGCAAGCAACCTGGATCAGAGGGTCGACTTCGGCTTCCGGTTGATTGTTCTCCTTTTCCTTGTGTCGTAAACAGCAACAAGGATAAGGAGAAGCAAATGGAGAAGAGATGATATGAGATACTTTTGCTTTTGAAGAAGTAACTTTCCACAGGCTTATTCTTGAACTGGGGTGGAGGGTTTTCTGGTTCCCTCTAGAGTATAAGGTCGACTCAAAAATTTGAGGGTCAAAACAAGTCCATCAAATCTAGAGTACGTTCGACCTTGATGATATGGGATACTTTTGCTGTTGACAAAGTAATGGATGTATGGGCATGTGTTCTGTTACGCTTGTCTCCACATGCTTCCTTGTATCCTTCTCACTTGCCCTATCTGTTCCTTAGGCAGATGTGGTATCTTCTCTAGAAGCATAAGATGTTGAAGATGAGTACTCGAGAGCAATGCCAGGTAAGTAATCAGGCAAAGGGTTCCAGGCAGTCAGTTCCTGACTAGAAGCTTGATTCCAAGTGCTGACTGATTGTTCTCTTTCTCCTTGTCTTGTAGGTAAGAATAAGGCCAAAGGAAAAGACAGGGAAAAAGCTTGATATGGGATACTCATGCTTTTAACCCTGATGATATGAGATACTCTTGTTCTGGTGTGGCTTGTTTGCAGAGGTATTATCGGGAGGAAAAGAAGC